TGAATGAGATGTTTGTTTTGTTTGAGTAAAGAGAAGCACATTGACGCAATACATTGTAATGATCATTTAGTGCAAGGGAAAATTGGTCGCTTTTAAGGACAAGCGGGCTAACCCAGATTTTGGGGGTTTTCAGAAATCTTGACTTGCACCAAAAGTGGGCATTTCGCTACCTATAGGAGGAGTTTGGTTTCATCGGTGTGTATATTTGTTTGTTATAGGGAAAACTCTCCTTGTCTTTTAAAGAGACTGTACAAGGGTCCAAAAACTTTACCTGCGATTTTCTGAAAACATCATTTTTCGAGATAGCCCCCTTGTGCTTTAAAGCGACCAATCAAGACAGGCAGACAACAACAACAACAAATAGAAAGTAAAGACGTAGGACGTACCAATGCCCTTCAACCATCCGTTTGAACACGAGAGAAATGAGGCGCGGACATTTGGTAATTAAGGTATCCGTTTGAGTTTGTTTTTTTTAATTTAAAATATATAATAATAATAATAATAATAATAATAATAATAATAATAATAATAATAATAATAATAATAATAATAATAATAATAATAATAAGAAGAAGAAGAAGAAGAAGAAGAAGAAGAAGAATATAAAAAGCATTTATGTAGCGCATATCCCCGCTCGAGCAGTTGCGAGCGTGTAAAACTTTTACCAAACTGAGACTGGTGTAGACGGGTGCGTAAAAGAACAGTAAAGAGCACAATGATGTACAAAACTGGAAAGTAAAAGGGGAACCAAGGACCAAGACTTAGCCCTATCAATAGGACTATATGTTTCAAATTATTATTTTTTGGGGGATAGACGCCTTATGAAAGGGTACCGATAATTACTAAGCCAATTGCAAATCATAGTCGACTGCGGATGCCTTGATGGTGTCGGGAGAGATAATATAGATCAATTCATCCCAAGTTCAACTTAACCGTTGGGACCTGTGAAGAAGAAAAGGTGCTGGGGCCCTTAGAAAAGGATCAACTGAACCGTGCTGGGGCCCTTAGAAAAGGATCAACTGAACCGTGCTGGGGCCCTTAGAAAAGGATCAACTGAACCGTGCTGGGACCCTTAAAAAAGGATCAACTGAACCGTGCTGGGGCCCTTAGAAAAGGATCAACTGAACCGTGCTGGGACCCTTAGAAAAGGATCAACTGAACCGTGCTGGGGCCCTTAGAAAAGGATCAACTGAACCGTGCTGGGGCCCTTAGAAAATGATCAACTGAAGCGAAGATCAACTTAAGGGAAGTCGACAGTATTTTATTTCCTTTTTTATGCAATTGTTGTTCAAACGTAGACGTATGTAGAAGTATCACAACTCAAGCGACTTTGTTCAGGTCATTTAGGAGGCGGGCTGCTTCCACTCTGCCTATCAAGGCCAGCCTTCACCGAGAGGGATACAATGTCCCAACAGACAGACGGAAGATACTCGATTTAAACCCCCAAAAACAAACCAAACCAAACAACTCTTCCTACCACACGGGAATCGAACTCATATCTGCGTGCGATAGCAAAGTTCCTGACTGCTGCACCACAGACGTCGAATGTCTTTTTGTTTTTTATTTATGCAATTATTTGGGGGGGGGGGGTGCTGTTTGTTTATTTGTTGTTTTTTTCTGTTTGATTTATTTATAATAAATCTCACCAAGAATCAAATAGTAATCCAGGAGCAGCAAAAGTACAAAATCAGCGTGACTGCTACACCACACCACAGTGTCCACAGACGTCGTTTTTGTTTTGTTTTGTTTGTTTTCCCCTTAAATTAAGTTAAATGTCACCTAGAAATAAATTATGGTAATCCAGGAGCAGAAAAAAGTGCAAGTCCAATCACATGTAGATCTATTTAATTGGAAGGGTCCGCACAATAATTCGATCACTATCACCATCACATCGTGTCTGGAAGGAAATACCGTGCACCACCGGAAGCCTGGCTCGGCCACACGTTGAGCAGAACTTGATCAACCACAGGACAAAACCACCGGCCAACAAATCGACAAACAGTTACAGTTACAGAGATCTAACGGAACCAGGGCCCCAAGAGCTTATCTGAAAAGCGAACCCTTCCATGAAATTATCCAGCTTTTTGTGAGGTAAAGAGATAAATGAGCGAGGGTGACGAAAGCGATAACCCCGAGCGTTTAGTGTCGACCGTTGACTCCTGCAGGGTCTGTGGCAGAAACAGGGCAGCGCCGATAGCGGCTGGAAATGTGAAAAGCTGGGATTTGATAACAAAGTCGGTGCAAAATGTACTGAATCGAGGACAATTATTACAAAGCCCACAGAACTGCAGCCACTCCCTTTTCAGAAGTGTTTTATGTTTTCTTCTTTATACTAATGTGTGCGAATATTTATATAAAATATCACAATATAATATAGACAAGGTATATATATATACATATATATGATATGTATATATACACACATACATTTTGAATATATTTAATTTATAATATATATTATATATAATATAGGCCTATATATTATATATATATGTATAAATAATATATAATATATATTTTTATTTGTTTTAATGTTAAATGGGGGGCTCTCGTGGCCTAGATGTCAAGGTGTTCACCTCTCATTCAAATGTACCGAGTTCGAATCCAAGTAGCGACCGAAACATTTTCTTCTCTAAAATTGTCTCCTTTCACTTTCACCTGCTTTCCTGCTCTCTAACAATGTTCTGTCGTCTGCTCTCGTCTTCACTTTCTACCTCCACCCCCTCACCTCCTTTGCCCCTTCCTCTCCTCTGGGCTCCTGACTCATTCTGCAGCCTTTCTACTGCTACTCCTTGGCTCCTTCTTACTGCTGTCTTTCAGCCACACACCTGATCTTCTGGTAGGAAAGGTCTGCACCTAGCCTTCTTGGACAAGGGCGAAAAATATCGGAGGTCCTGTGTGCAAGTTGCGCACGTGAAAGATCCCTTGGTAGTTCAAAATTGATAAGAGTAGGCTTCGGCCGCCACCTGGGCAAAATTCAAAATTTCCTACAAAACGAAAAATGTTTAATGTGTCCTGCGCGCTCATATGACCTTATGCAGTTGTGAGCGCCGTAAAACACTTCTACCAAAAATGAAATTATAAAAATATTAAATATGGTGGTTGGCGGGTGCTCTCTTTGGTGTGGTTTGTCCCTTTCCTTTCAAACATCTATTGTCCTTATTTCTCCACCTTCTTTTTGTGTTAGTTACTTGTATTTGTAATGTATTCTGCCTCTCATCTTCAGCACTTATAAAAAAATAAATGACCTTACTGGGTTGCCAGTGCCATAAAACTTTTATCAAAACATATAGGCTTACATGAAACTTATAATTATGTATATATTGTGTTTTAACAACCAAAAATTTTAAGTCGAGTTAGTGTTGATGGAAATACGTCAACTTTTAGATATTTTAGATTCTGTACTATAAATATCCCTTTTCATTATTATATTACATACATTATTTTTTTACCCGCCTAAGGCTAACACCAAAGATTAAAATTAAACCTGACGGAACGGTAGTTTTTTAGTTTTAGTAGAGGGTTTACGGCCCTCGCAACTGCATACGGTCATATGAGCGCCAGAAGATTAGGTGTTACAAGAGAGTAACAAACATAACAAAGAAGAAGGGGAGATAAGGACGATAGATATTTGATAGGAAAGAAGAAGCAAACCACACCAGAGCACCCGCCAACCACCCACAACGGTAGTTTGCAGTGACCTGTGTTAATTAGCATTAATTAATCAGCCTTTACTTTTACATTCTGTACTGTTAGTTTTCCAATTTTTAGTTTTAGTAAGATTTTACGGCGCTCGTAACTGCATAAGGTCATATGAGCGCCAAGGGGTGGTTGTCAACAGAGAAGTCTAAAAGTAAAAGGGGGATCAGGCACGCTCTGTTCACCTCTCTAGCCTCAACAGCACAAAGTCTGCTTCGACTATCAAAACACCCCGAAAATAGCAGTTCACAAGAGAGTGACAAACATAAAATAGATATATATATATATAGAGGACCAATGACAAAAGTAAGGATGAGGAAAGAAAAAGCAGCAGTTCCCCAGTAGCACTGCCCTGGTGGGGGGGGCGGGGGTCAATGATGAAATGCCATGACGATGTTTGAAACCTCAGCTTGTTGTAGTTTAACAATAAGAAATCATAAGTCGAGTCAGGTGCAGTCTCCAGCCAGCCAGTCAGGTTAAGAAGTGAAAAGAGAAATAAGAGCATAGAACTCACTTTTACTATCGACTTAAATCAGAATTTTTTGACAGGCAGAGAAAAAAATTGGAAGTATTCTGATTTTATCAGAGCACTTGGCAAGCTTCTTGTTGCAGCAAATGGCGCGACATTTGGAGGGTCCCACGGTATAGTATACTGTCCCCGTTGTTTTATGCAAGAAAAATTCTGAAATTATGCAGACTGAGCCGAAAAAATGTGAAACTATGCGATTCTGTTAATTTTAACAAAGAAAGATAAAGGAAAGTAATAAGAAATTATGCAAAAATGATCAAATTTGGCTAAATTATGCGGGGTGCATAAAACCAGGGGGAGAGACTATACAATGTACTGGGTAGTTACATGCATATTTCTAAACTAAAAGAACAGATTCAAAGAAATGTATGAGACTGCCACCTTTGTTTTACTTAGGCAGCATAAAGTCTTCCCCAATCACAATGAGTGTGGCTCCCGGAGTCGTAACCACGATATTGCAGGCTCAGGGGTTCGAGCCTCAGCTCAGTCTGACGATGTCCGTGTTTAAGGCACTTTACACCAACTCCCCATTGGCTCGGTCCTTTCGGAGAGATGGATGTTAAACTCGGAGGTCCCGCCTCTTTAACTTTAATGTAATAGTGTTGATTGTTGACAGGGGCATTAAACCTTTACCATTTCACATTTCATTATGAGTAACTTAGTAGTGATAATTACACTGGTAACTTGACACAACTTCAAGAAATGGAGGAGCTGCAAATTACAAACACCAATATCTCTCAATATCTGTGAAACAAATTGCAGTTTGAAGTTGTTTTTTTCAAAATGTACCATACTTTTATTCCACGCTTCGTTTTAACAGGCAACAGCTTTCACAAAGAAAGAGATTAAAACTGTGTGACTCTTTTCAACATATATATAAAAACTGATGCAACATACCCTTACCTAGACAATATTTTGATGTACATTTTCAAAGAGCTGAAATATTATTTCCCATTCCTCTGCATAATATTAATGTCAATTAACATGAACCAGTAGAATGCAATGAAATGAGACTAAATTATTCAAAAATTCTACATCAAAACATTTTTATAAAAGAGTTGAAAAGCAATGTTACAAAAACAAATACATGACGTATTGTTGGCTACATAAACTTTAGATTCAGATTTTACATCAAATATGTACTTGCATGCATATATATATACAAGGTTTTGTGCTCTAACAAATAAGCAGACAGGGAAATTTAAAAAAATATTAATCAGCACAGAGTAATGGATAATGTGCTGAGATATAAATATAATAACATAGTAAGTATCAACCATTTATAATATGTGCTGGGATATAATAACAACTGGTGGGCAAATTTTGGCTGTAGATCATTGAGTAAAATTGTAACCTTTCCAACATAATTTATCTAAAAATATCATTGAATTCAAAATAAAAACAACCCTGGTACAGAAGATGTGAGAAAATATATAATGCGAATCCACAAGAGAATTAAAAATGTCACCATCTCTGAACTTTATACAACAACAGCTCTTGCAGTGCAACTAAATATTTGGGTAGATCTAGCTATAAAACTTTCTTTTTAAATTTATATAAAACAAGAACTGCAATAGCTTGCACCACATTCTTTGAGCCCATTTTTACGTTTATATATTAACAGGCAATTTTGATGTCTATGCAAAATTATTGACCGTCACAATTTTGAGAAAGCCTACACTACATGACCATAAAGTATTTTTTAAAAAGACAGTGCCTTTGTGGACAACATTTGTCCTAAATCATCAGTTCTCGGCAAGCTGAAAGCTGGCCATGTTTTAGAGGAAGATTTAGAGACTTACTAGGTACAAAAACACATTTTCCTGGACAACATCAAAATCATTTCTCAGCCAGTTGAATGTGGGCTTTACTCCAGCAACTAATGTCCAAATTTAGCTCTAGCCACAAGAATTTCTGGCCAGTGAAGAATTAATTCCAATAATCAAATTATATGACAAGGCCATAAATAAGATGTTCTCTTTGTGATTATATAAGTGCATTGCACTCGTCTTGTCGGAGAATTACTGGCGTCTATACAGTAGCAGTTACGCGTTTCGCCATCACATGCAGGATACCTGAGTTCGATTCCAGAGTGGGGAGAAATTTTTTCCGAGTATCTGTCTCTCTTCTGGAACATTGCTTGCATCTCTCTCAGCCCTGGCAGGTAGGGTCAGAAGCCTGAGCTCCTTTAATGGTCTAAATTGTGTCGATGGGGGTGTAAAAACATCAACATTTATTTCAAAAGCTTTAAGCCTGGGAATTGATGCAACAATTTTTTGAAATACAGAAAGTTACCCGCCACTGCTGCGTCAATTATGGATAAAACACACAAAAAAACTTTCAAAAAGATTATCAAATTCAACACTGGCCATTCTATCCTAATTACCCTGCAATCATAAACTTCTGAGAACACCAAGAATAAAAAAGCACCAGGATAATATTTAGGTTTCCTCTCAGAGCATTCAACAAACAAAGAAATGAGTGACAAATCTTGGTGCAGATGCCTGTTTCACATCTGGCATTAAAAAAAAAAAATTCCTAAAAGAACAACAACACAGGAGCAACTACAGTAGGAGCATAAAATGACAAGAAATTCGATGCACTCTGTGATGATGAGAGACATGTATATATTATATATATATATATGTGTCTGTCATGCCGTGGTGGAAACAGGCACTCGTCAATTTTATGGGCATGTGGAGTTATTGGTAACGTCTTCAAGCATGGTCATTTGTCCTGCTCTCAATAAAAAAGCACCTATTCAGCACCATCTATCTTGAATAGATGTCGAGATATTTGCTACTGAAGGAGGACTGGAGGTGGAGGTCGTCGGGTTCCAGCGGTAAAATTAGCGAGAAAATGGACACCAAAGTTTAGCGACTTCCACTCCCATGGCTTTAGAGTCCTTGGAAATTGAAAATGCACATTTTATTTGCTTTTAACCAATCAGCAAAATAATAAAATTTGATTAAAATTAGCTAACCTGCTGAAAAAGCCGCTTTTTTCGATTTAATTATTTTGACGCGCACCTGATTTCATTACGATGCCTCAAACTAAACTAACATATCTATGACCACAAGATAGAACCGACATCTATGGTGTAAGTTACTTTCTCTTGTGTCCCACACACTAAGCATTCGTTCAATTCCTGTGTGGGGAAGTCTTTTTGTCCATCTGTATCCTGGGACATTGTAGCTCGATCAAATCTGGTTGGCCTGGGCATGCAGTGTTGAAGTAGCCCACCTCCTAAATTCTAAATTATCTAAACTGTGTCCACGAGGGCGTAAAACATTCACATGCATAATTACATAAGGCAGGCACGACAACATAATAAACATTGCTGCTAAGGCATTCCAACCAATAAAATCTAACGAAAAACAAAAAAAAACAAATCAAAATGACTAGGTTTAGATAAAACTCAAAAGCATTCTAATTCATACTGTACAGCACCATATCTATTTAAAATAGCCCTCTACTTCACTGGTACCCTATCATGAAATGTCAGGTCAAAGTTCCAAGTAACCCAAGTCTCTTGAAAAGGCACACACGTTAAATTAAGTCAACCTCGGAGTCCGAGTCAGTCCCGGGGGTCACCGTTACCTCTGTTGTCTCTTCCAGTGAAACTTCCCCCACACTCGGTGCATCACAGCCCGTGTCCGATTCTGGCGGGCTAAAAATAGTAGACACGGTTTCATCGAGAGGGAACAACGGAGTACCCTTAGTGTCTCTCACCGGGGTGCTTGCTCTGCCATGAGCCATGATCGTGCCTGCCGCAGCCGAATTATGATGCAACCCATCCTCCCAATTGCTGGAGAGACTTACTGGACGAGAGTCCTGATAACCAGGAGCAGAGCTAGAGGAAGAAATAAAGGAGCTGTTTACTTTTTCTATTGATGTAAAAGGGGGTCTTGAAATTTTTCTCCGTTTGGAAAAGCTGTCTTGTCGGCAGTCGGTTAATGCACTAGGGGGTTCTCCCCAGGGATCACAGTTCTCCTCAACAGCACTGGGTGCTGATCTTGTTCTGTGAGTCATGTGTCGTCTAGGACGAAACGCCTTCAAATGTTGCTGGATACTTAAGGAAGAGAGAGACTCTCTCTGATGCTCGACAGACACAGCGTCGCTGTCTCTTCGCCTGGGGTTGGAAGGGGAGAACTCTTCAATATAGGCTAAGGGGAACATGACAGAAGTTTGCAAGGCCTTCGGGTTGTTTGGTACAGAGAAAGTAAATTTTGAACTGTTCTTCTGTGGAGATGAGGCACCCTTGCGATGTGAACTATGATCTCCAAAATGTCGCTGCGGTGATATCACAGACTCCGATCTTCTTATGCCACACTTCGGGGAGTACGCAAGAGACATACTGTTTTCATCTGCCTCATCTATTGACATTCCATTCGCGTTCTCAGCCACAGCAACGTTCCCAGAGCTACCTAAGGCACAATCACTGCCGGCAAAGTGTGAGCACCCAAAGTTCTGTGTCATTGAGTGTCTTTCACTTAAAGGGAGTGAGTTGTCCACATCTAGATCTGACCGATCTGCCTGGATATCCCTCCAGGCTTCGAGCGCACGTGCAGAAAATGAATTTTTGGAAAACGTGTTTAATAAACGAGGACTTTGTTCATTTTTGTTACAATGTAGCTTGACTTTATTAGGGCTTCTTTGATTGACTGTCACTTTGGCCTGCACGGAGGATGTACGACACTGATTTCCCAAAGACTCCGGTCTGCTGGGGATGTGACCAGAACATGTGTCATTTGGAACTGAGGAGAAAGTTGTGCCGTTGTTCGAAATGTGGCGTTGATTTTCAAAGAAATTTTTATCGTTGATGAATGTGGAAGACACAGGAGAGCGCGTCACAGGGCAAGGGTTCTGATTTTCTCTACCCGAGTAAGTCACATGGGGCAGAACAGACGGGCTTAGAGATGCTTGAACAGCTGCATCCTTCATGTTGGTCGAGCCGTGCACAAGAGCAGGTGACTTGCTGCAGACATACGTCGTAGGCACTTCTACTCCTACCTGACTACTGATCCTCTGGATGTCTGGGTACTTCTCCGGCATTTTGGGTGGACAAGAGTAATGTTGAATCGGAGCAGCGACTAACTGTTGCTTGGCTTCCTCAATCCATCTGCACAGTCTAGTACCATTTGAGGGAGGTCTGAGCCCATCGTTTTCCTCATCTCCACCAGAACGGAAGTGCTGGGGGCCACTCGGGGACTTTGTGTCTTCCCATGCGTCAGCAGAACACAACTCACGCACTTCCTCCTGGGTCAGGGAGAATTGTGGAGGTTTGTATCGTTGCTTGATCACACTAAAGCAGATGTTACGATTAATTTTGATAGGCTTTCTTATCAAGTGCAATTCAGAAATCGGGCTTTTGAATTCAAAAGCGTTCTGGGACTCCCGTCCACTACATTCATTTATGACCGACATTGCCTTTGGACTAGCCAATGGCTGCTGGCACGAAGAGCATTTGTTGTCACTTTCTCTCCCTGTCTCCACTCTGTTTTGATCTGCGGATGTACTGCCCCCACTAGCTGCAGGAGCAGCAGCGAAGGTTTGGTTCAAGCTGAGTAGGTCATCTCGAGTTTGGTCGTGCAGCCCAAACCTTGCTGCTCGGGGCGAAGAGGTGTCGGTGAAGTAGTCACTGGTCTGAGACCATGAAGCTTTACGTTTCAACTGCCGGCAACTGGGAGTCACAGGACAGTTTGTGGACAACCACTTCTGAGGATCAAAGCCGTATTGAAACAGTGACTTCCCCCGGATGCGGGACTCTGAGAAAGCAAAACCTCTATCAGGAGAAGTGACTTGGGAATACCTTGTTGCCCTGGTAACTTTTCTGTGTTCCTGATTACTGTTGACCGGGTTTAAGTCACTGAACGCTGGACTGGAAGTACAGGAGGACCCAAACAAGAAGCTCACATCCCTGTCAGCACAAACGTCGTTTCCATCCTGCCTCTGTGCCATTATCGTATTTACACCTACACTTTTTCCTGTCTCTACAGGTCGAGGCGGGTGCAGAGCGAGATTCTGTATCGAGTCTGTGATACTGACGTCAGCAGCCCCCACAGATGTCTGTCCGGAGTCCAACTGCACATCACTCCTCTGAAGGCCATGACACGCTGCTTTAACATCAGAGACTTTCTCAGAGGAGAAACATTTGTGACTTCTGGACTGCTGAACCGGAGAGTGCATCACAAAGCTGTAACTGTCTAAAGCGGAAGGTTCATCCACACTCCCCGAAGAAAAGGAAACATCTAAGGACATTTTCTTCGGCATACCAGTTGGTTCTGTATTTACAGACGGTGTTGGGCATTTGTTGCTACTTGCTGCTGGCACCAAGCTGGGAAGGATCTTGTCACCATTAGACACAACACCACAGTGTTTTGGACTGAAGCACGGAGCACTACGGGCTAAATCTGGCGTTTTCGAGTGAGAACCATTTCTGTTTGTCTTGGCAGGAGCCTTTTGAATCTCATCGTCTTGCACAGATTCTGGTGTCCTAGAATTTGGCACCGTTTTCTCCCTGATCCTGCTTTTTGCAGAGGTAATATCGAGTTTTCCTTGCACACCGCAATCTGATTTAATGTGTTGTTGTGGAGGAAAAGAACCTGCGGCAAAAAGACTTTTCTTAGCACCCATAGTGGTAAGTTTGTCTTTTGGAACAGCCTTAGGTGCCACTCGTCTCACTTTGATGCCCTGAGGACTTTTGAAAGTTGCACCAGAATTCTCAGTTCTCTGATTTGTCCTTTCTGCAGTCGGACTCGAAGCAAGGCCTCTGGCATGCCCACTGTGCCGGGGTGATTGACCCACCACTTCAGATGATTCAAGTCCTTTCTTTGGAGAGGAACCCTGACAAGTTTGCCTGATTGACGGGGAAAACTGGCGACGTGCTGCACCATTAAAAGGTCCGGAGGTTTCGTCGGCAAAGCACTGTTGAGTGTCCATATTCTCTGATAGACAGGAATTTTGCATGCTCAATTTTGAAGGCTTAATTGTGAATGACTCTCTGTGGGTAAAAGTTTCATTTACTTTATGATTTTGTGAAGTATCATTCCCAGGAGGTGCAGGGGAAGACTTCTCAAGGAAAGACTCATGGTACATAAAGGGCTTGGACGCTCCCTTTTTCACTAAAGTTTCACTTTGATCAGATACAACAAAAGTTTTGTCAAACGAAGTGTTCAAATCAGGGCTGCTAGGAAATGAGGTGTGATTTAGTTTGCCTGACTTCTTGAAGAATGAGCTGCTACCGTCTGTGTGAGGAGAGATTATTCTCTTACCTCTCGAGCTCTGAATGGACACAAAGGAGGAGTTCTCGGAGGTGTTCAACTTGCCCAGAAAGGAAGAGTTGTGTGGAGATGTAGGAGTTGGTTGGCCAGATAAAGACCTGAAATTTCTCTTGCTCCTTGGGCTGTGCACGGAAACAAATGACGTCTCTAATTGGTCCAACCGGCTGAGACAAGAGCCGTTCTGAGGTGACCCCGTAAAAGATGTTTTGTCTTCAGACAGCACGTGCCGAACTGATAAAACTTGCTTGTCCCTACGACTACGAGGTGAGACATAAGTAGAGGGCTCTGGGGAACTTAGCGTTCTGAAAGAAGAGCAGCTCTGAGGTGGCCCCACAAACGATTTCTCACAGGAATGCACTGGTCGAACGGCGGAGTGGTGTGAATGTGAAGAGCTGTCCGTGCTCAACGCCAGTCTCTGTAAGGCAGAGGTCATAGGTCGGGTTGCCCCTGACCCTTCAGATGCTTCAACAACTCTATTTTCTTCTACGCTTACACTGGCTTTCTTCCTATGGTCTGTTTGACAAACAGAGCTTTCATCTGTAACAAAGTCATCTTTGGAACACAAAGTTACAGAAGACATGCTCCCTGCTGATGAGTTTTCCTCGTCCATCACTTCTTCTGTCTGTCCTTGTCCCAATCCGCTTTCAGCTGCCACCTCCTCCAGATTCGTATTAGAGATTTCCGTTCCATTAAAACTTGCAGAGTCCCCTTTATCGTCTGTATCATCCTGCTCTGACATGCTTCCTTCCTCCTCACTTTCACTACCATCATCCTCTTCACTGTACTCCGCACAGTCCTCTTCGTCGCTGGGATAAGAACTGCTGCAGGAAGAGAGTGTCTCGGAATCACTCACATCATCTCTAGCTCCATACTCTCGTCTCGAGTTCTCTAACTCACCTGGCAAAATAGAGATGGGAACAAATAAACCAGAAAACATTAGTGAGGTTCAGAAAACAGTTTTCAACCACCCTCCCCCACCCAAAAAAAACACCTTAAAACAATAACCCCATAAGAATATGAAATATTCTTTAAAAAACCCACACCAATATTCTTCAAAACATCAAACCAAATCAAGACAGCATTGTGCAAGGCTAGAAGGACAACTTTAATTAACAAGCTGAAGTAAAACACATGAATTCATTAAAATAAACTACAGTATAGCCCCTCTATAATGACATCATCAGGACTAGAAAAAAAATGTCGTTAAAGAGAGGCAGCCATATGACATGCACAAAAAGATCAAAATATAAATTAATCTACAAGCAGGAATACTTGACAACAGACCAGAAATCATCAAGACTTCCAGATTTATCAAGAAAATTTACACCTTTGATTCTATCATTCTATGGAATTATAACAATTAATGAAAACTTTCCACAAACATGGCACAATTTCTAAACCAAAGGAATAAGGTCAGAACATTGCTGGACCAATAACAACAAGACTGCAATTCTATTCTAGGAGGAAAAAAAGAAGACCCAGGAATCAAAGTTTTTATATCTGCTACTTTTGTGAAAATTTGCAGGGGAGGCAGTAAGACAGAGGCTGGCACATTGTCACAGCAGACAGAATACACAAAGTTTTTTAGTTTTAGCAAGAGTTTAACCGCCCTTGCAACATTATAAGGTCATTTAACCTAAGTGCCGAAGATAAAATGTGTTATAAGAGAGTAACAAACATAAAAAAGGAGGAGATCACGACAATACCTGTTTGATAGGAAAGAAGGAGCTAACCACATCAGAGCACCCACCAACCACCCACATAGGCGACGAGACACTTTTCTTCCTCAGCTCCATTGTGCACATACAGTCATCGTTTTACTTTCTACAATAAAGTGGCAAATTTTGAGACATTCAAACAGATAAAGAGTAAGATATCGTGTACATATTGATACATGAAATACTGCTGACAAAATGCCTTTTCAAAATTCTCAGCAGTTTTGAGATAAAGAGGGCTTTTTGTTAGCGTAACCATTGGAAAATAGAGTGCTTCTGAAATTTGAATTCTCATTTATTAAAAAACTAGTCAGTTTCACCTCGATTTTTTCACATAAGTAGTGTTGCTGATAACAGAGATGCCAACCACAGAAAACCGAAATGAGTATTGGGAAATATGAAAATGTGTATTTTCAGGGCAAAATGCGTATTCCCCACGACCGACCGACCAACCAGTAGGCTAAAACAGCACCTGGACATGGATGGCTGGTGCCTCTATAAATAAATCATTGATGGTCGACCAACCAGTAATAGTAAAATGTTCAG